ATTTTGATGAATAATTTATATATTTTTAAAAATTACACGAGCCTGACATGTGAGTGGGGCAGTGATCAGATTATAACCTTGCTCTACAGTGTGGATGGAAACTGACTGGTTGTTTTTTTTTGGTTTATGCTTGTTTACTAAAATACTACAAAAAGAAAGAAAAAAAGGAAAGTGTGAACAATAGAGGTAAAGAAGGAAGAAGGGGAGGGAGGCAGAAGAGAGAAAGGAGGGAGACAGGCTTCACGGAGACTCAAGTCACCAGCAGTGAGGAAGGGGACAGATCGCTTTCCACAGAGGAGGAGAGGCCCAGCGCGGAGTCCCTTGGTGGCTAATTGTCCCAAAGGCCAGAGTCTCCACCTGGGGAATCCCTTTGACCTTCCAATTCCGCCGAGGGCCAACCAAGCTAATCAACTTTTTATTTTATTTTTTTCAAGTCACCTTGGAGGCCCTCTCGGTCTTTGTTCAGCTGTAATCTTTCTTAATTAGATAATTGAAATAATCATCCAATTAAGTTGGCTCCCATAGCCCCCCTTCCTCGCGAGCGCGCTGAATCCAGCTGGCTTCTCATTTCCGCTGACTTCGTTCTTTGCCTCATGCAGGGCCTGGAACAGGTTTCAAGCTGTTTTCTTTCCTCTTTTTCAGTTTGTCGTTTCAGTTCATAAGAGCTACAACTAAATTTCAGTTCTGGTAATGTCAAAATAGACTCCGTAGGCAACTAAAAGCCAGAGTTGCAGCTGACACCAACTCAGTGGTGGCTAAGAGTTTCAGATTCACTGGATTTGAATCTTAGTTGTCATTTACTAACTGGGCAGTCTTGCACATGCCACAGTGACCTTGAACATGTGCCCTGGCATTTGAAAGCTACAGTCTCCTTGTCCGTGAAATGAGGATCAACAGAGGACCTATCTCAAGGTTGTTAGGAGGATTAATTGAGATAATATAAGTGAGGCCATCGGCCTTTACACATGTTTGTTAAATATGCAAAAATCAGTTACTTTTAATAGTTCAAGTAGTTGACATTATTTACTTGTTACAGCATTTAGAAAAAGAGATAAATCATAGAGAGATACAAAATGTAAATGATTCTGGACTTGTTTGACTGTTTGAGGCACTGATATAGTGTGTATATTTGTTAATCTAGTGTTTTCCTTCTGGTTAACTCTACAGCCACTGAACACAGAGATAACAGCTATTTTCTGAGGTGGATTCATGGTAAACAAAATCACAAACCAGTGTTCCATCTGTGCATGTCTCAATGGACGGTCCACGTGGGCAGGGCTATGTCTGATACATGTGTGCCACCAATGAATAAGTTGTTAAATAATGCTACATGTGGAGGAGTTGTTTTCTGAGGACACCTAGCCAGGCAAGTGGCGTGTTCCTGTAATCTCAGGGACTAGCGAGGCTGAGGCAGGAGAACTGCAAGTTCAAAGCCAGCCTGGGCAATACCTTGTCTTGAAAATAAAATGACTGGGGTGTAGCTAAGTGGTAAAGTGGTTGTCTAATATGCATGAGTCTATGGATGTAATCCTGGCACTGCAAAAATTGGTTTAAAAATAAATTTAAAAATAAAGACATTCAGGATAGTTTCAAGCAATAGATGCTAAAACATTGAAAATAAAAATCTAAAGCAGTGATGGTAAAACTGTTAGAGACCCAAAACCTACTTAGTTATTCCCGAGTGCCAGCACTGCAACTAAACCTGAATGTGGAGCTGCTAGGGGATGCAAGTGCAGCTTGCGAGCATAGAGGGTGCCCACTGCGTGCCCATACGGCACATGTGCCCTAGGTTCTTTGCCACTGAAAGGTATTGTTGGCACACTAGCTAAGGATAGAGAAGAATGTATAAAAAGCTAGTCCTCCCAAGATCATAGAGTAAAACACATTCACACAGTGCCAGGTCCAGCGGACGAGGTGAACGAGGACACAGTGTCATGTTTTTATGAGCATGTCCTCTGCTGGATGGCACTCAGCAGCAGGATTCTTGGTATCTTTTAAATAAGCCTAAGGAAGACCTTCATGAAAGTGGACTCCCAGAACTGCTTCAGAAAGTGTCAAAGAGAATAGGATAAGTGTGTTCAAAATCAGGGAGGATTTCAAGGGTAGTTCATGGCAGCATGTCTTTTACTGTAATAATTATTTTCTAGTTTAAAAATTCAATGCATTTTTAAAATCATATCTTACGCACACACCCCCTTCTGTCTAGAAGACTTTGTACCTCTCGTTCACAGATCCTCGAAGTTCTGGTTAGATTCTTCCTCCTGCTTGGCTTCCCCAGCCTAGAGAGATCTGCTTTCTCTAAGCTCCATCACCAAGCCTGCCCTTCCTTGGCATGAACTAGAGCTTCAAGAAAGGGCAGTTCAGCCAGATGTGACATCTGTTACGTCTTTATTAATAGATGACTGTGTAATTCATCGTCCACGCTGATTCTTTCCTGAGAGTGAAAGGGGGTGCGATTGGTAATGATCCTGGGAATTAGTAAGATCCAGGAGAGTTTCAAGGCAAACTACACCATTCAGTCACCTACAGAAAAGACGTGCAACATGTAGCAAGAGGGAAGAGACTGGTTGGCACAGTTGCAGTTTTATTGCCCGGTGCTTTGGATATGCACAGGAATTGCAGTTCATTATTTTCTCACTATAGATCTTTTTCCAGGCAAGTCTCTACCCAGCTGGAGGATAAAGAGGAGAAATGATATTTTTTTGTCAGCCTGGTGATTTAAAAAACCTCTGAGATCATTCAGACATAGTATGGCTGAGGAGAGAGAAAGTCAGAGTTCTGAGTCCCATCACCCCATTTTCAGCCCCCACTCACCCTTGAGACCCTTAAGATGGTGCCTGGTCACTGGTCAGGTGCACAGTGGGGAGACTGGGAGGTGGAGGTAGAGATAGGATCTGTACTTACAGTTTCCTCTGAAAATGACTGTTGGGCACGACTGCTTCCCCTAAATTTTGTGGTGATTTCCGTCATCACTGATAGATACACGGGGTGTACTCTATGTAGGGGGTGCTGCTGAGGGAGGGGCTGACATCCTGTCAGTGCGCTGCCAGCCAGGCTGTGAGCCTTGGAACTTCTTATACAAGTCAGACCAGCATGTCTTTTCCTATTTGTGCAAAGGCATCCCAGGCACTGGTACAAGCCCTGGCCAGTAGTACCACGTTCCAAGCTATTTGTTGCTGGCTTTGCATTCCTTGCCTGTAGCAGCCTGTTGATCCTGATCGTGGGGCAGAACTCTTTTGGCACCTTCCTGGTCCCACATCAGGCCCCTGGAAAATTCTGCATGTCTTGCATGCCATGTATAGGCCTTAGAAGGCTGGGGCACTGTGCTCGAAATCCTCCCACACAGTCCTGCTATCTGCTGGCCATTGTACAGTTCCAGGGAGACCTGATATCATGCCAAGGCCAGGTCCCTAAGGGGAAAGTAGACTTAGGCTTGCCCTGGTATAGAAACCCTTACCCTGATGTTAACACACTTCTCCCATCATTTTCTGGAACAGTCCAAATTTCCTCCCCTCCTTAGAGACACAGGGGTGTCTCTTATGAATGGCCTCAAGGACTTTCTTCTTTTTCTTTCTCTTCTGGGCATCATGTTTAGGACATTCCTGCAAATGATGCAACTCATTGTTCTAGATCAACACTTTTCCCACCTTTTCATGGGGTAGCACACAAGGAAAAAAGGGTGTATGGTGGCTGGTGGCCTGGGGGCTCTGGAGCCCTAGAGTGGGCTGGACCAGGAGACTGATGGGTCACCAATCTGCTCAAATGCTGCCAGGCCACTCTGAGGGCAGAGAGAACAAGAGTCCCCGAGGGCACTGAGTCATTCTAATTGGGAAGACCTCCTAAAAGCTTTCCACCTGGCTTGGCAGGCAAGCATGGAATGGGTCACTGAGAAAAACTTTCCCCTCCAGAAAGCCTCAATTTCCTTGGCCCTTGCGCCTCTGCAGAGGTCAGGGATGGCAGCTTGACGAGACTCATGCTGATCAATGGCCTCTTTATTCTGTGCTGGCTCTCCCTCCCCGGGACAATAAGCCTCCTGGCTCAGCCCTAGAGGCGGGAGGTGACAAGGAAGTAGTTTAAAGTAGAAAGCTGGGACTCACAGGCATAGCTCTGGTGACGGGATCTCCACACAGTTTCAGCCATGAGACCCCTCCTGGGGGCGGTGTGTGTGTGTGTGTGTGTGTGTGTGTGTGTGTGTGTGTGTATGTATCCAAGTTAGGGCATGTGCATATCAACACATCTTGGCTAAACTGCCTTCCAAGGGCCGAGGTTCCCTTACCTCCAAGGCTTTTGTTATGCTGAGTGGTTTATGCAAATATAGGGCCAGAGGAGTGGCTCCGGGCTGGAAGGGGAGAGGTCATTGGCCCTCTCAGCAGCAGCCCCTGAAGGCTCTGTTGCCCCTCCCCAGTCAATAATGATCTCCAGATTAATTCAGCCTGTTGTTGACCTTCATAGAAATACAATACAGCCTGTACTCTCTGTGCAACATCATGTCTGCGATGCTGGCGCCTGGTGCTGTGGGGAGCAGCAGTGCGTTCCTGTTCCTTGTCACGTATTGTTCAGTTGTGGCCAAGGACCCCGGTTTTGCTCAGCCACCTTCACTTCATGTGAAGTGTTGGTCTGAGTTATCGCACACAGAAAAACTGCTGTGACATCCCTGTTTGTGCTCGTTTGGGCCTCATTCCTCTCTTATTATGTGGGGCTTTTTTCTTAGCATTCTTGTTAAAAGAATTACTGTTTCTGATAAAAAGTAATATATATGTATATATTCATTAAAAAAATGGAACATCCAAAAGCAGAAAATTTTTAAAAAGTCATCATGTGTGTGTTCAATTCTGTACTCAAAACATCATGAACAATTTTTCTTCATAGGTCGTAGAGAAGTCTCATCTGTTTTTGTTTTTGTTTTGTTTCATTTCATTTTTGCAATGCTAGTACTTGAATTTGAGTTCTTTGCACTGAGCTACAATCATAACCATTTTTTATTTTTTATTTTGAGACAGGGTCTCTCTACACTGCTTAATGGCCCAGACTGGGCTCCAATTGCGATCCTCCCGCCACAGCCTCCAAAGTGCAGGATTACAGGCATGTGCCACTCTGTCCAGCCTCATCGTGTGTTTTATTCCTTGTGGCCTTGTTCCTTGTATAGGCTGTCAGCTGGCATTTGGGATGACTCTGGGGTTTACCCAGGAGAGACCTGGAGACAGCTGGCTACCTTTCCCATCCACTGCAGCCCCAACAGATGCCCGCTGTCTGGTGTGAGAAAGCACTGGGCTGGAGGGCAGATGGGTCCTTCCATTGCTGGCTGAACTATCACAAATGGACCTAACAAGGTGGAAGGACAGGCTGCAAATTGAGAAGTGCTGCAGCAAAATTGGAAAACAGAGACGGTAAAGGGGAAGTGAACAGTGAGTCTGGAAAGCAGTGTCACTGCAGCTGCTAAAATGTCTTGGAAGGTTCATCCTGGACACAGACTGCCGCAATGTGTCAGTTCACCCAGATCGACAGATAGTGTAGTATCCCAAAGCTGAAAACTGCAGGAGAATCTAATGGCTTCCCTTTTCAGCCCATTCTTTTCAAATATCGGCAGACTCTTCTCAATCCCTTGTTCATGCTCATTTTTACGGACAATGTCTGATCATAAAACTAGACATCATGCAGGGTGCAGTCATGCAAGCTTATAATCCTAGTACTTGGAAGCTGTTGTGGGATGATTACCATGAGTTCAAGACCAGCCTAAATTGTCTCAACCCATCCCTGAAAAAGCTAAGTACCAAAGTATATCTCTATCGGGGCTGGGGATTTAGCTCAGCGGCATAAGCGCCTGCCTTGCAAGCAGGCAGTCGTGAGTTCGATCCCTGGTACCGATAAAAAGAAAAAAGACAAAAAAAAAACAAAAACAAAGTATATCTCTATCTTCCTGTTTCCACATCTGTACAAACAGGGTCAATAATAATACCTATACCTAAGAGTAGGGTTTCTCTACCTGGGCACTAGTGGCGGTTACAGCTGGGTAATTCTTTGCTTGTCTGGGGCATCACAGAATGTTTAATAGCATCCCTTGCCTTTACTCCCTAAATGCTAAGGCATCCCTTTCCACTTTCAACAAAAAGATTTCCAGACACTGCCAAATGCCCCTGGGTAGGGGTAAAACAATCTTGAGCTGAGAACCACTGCTCTAGTTACTGTAGTTGAGGTGATACATGGAGGTGCTTGAAAGAGTATGTAAGTGTTCAATAAACCTCCACCAGCTGGGTTTATGAAGAACTCCCTGAGAAGTGCACGCTTGTGGCTGGGGCTACTTTACACCCCCATTTACTTATTTATGTCATCATTGTTCTTTTCGTATTTTAGGTTCTCCCTTCTGGACGTACTGTGGTTTACAAAGTCCTTTCTTTTCCTTTTCCTTTTCTTTCTTTCTTTTTTCTTTTTATTTAACATGAACTGCCTATCTCTGGAGGTACAAGTAGCAGAAATAAAACTCAGAAGTACTGGCATTTACGAGTGGCTTTTGAAACTGGAGAATGTCACAGAAATGTAAATCATAGTCTTCCACAAACGCAAGACGATGGATGTCTTGTTCTAAAACCTTTCGAAACCATTGGCCACTGACCAAGCGTTTCAGCGCGTCTAAACTGAATTCTGGATTTTGCTGTTTGTGGAAGAGCTGGGCTGGTGAGACCCCACGGTGGTAAGCACCAGTGTTTGGCTGCTTTCTGGCTGCTGGAAGGCCGGCAGCTAGCCTGTGAACAGGAAGTTCCAGGCAGACAAGCTGAGGAACAGGGTAAGCTAGTGTCCTGCCCTTCCTGTAGGGAGGAATTGGAAGGATGGGGGTGGGGCCATGTTGCAGAAAGGTGCTGCTTGCTGCCAGACTAGGGCAACTGAGGAGTCCTTACATCCCACCCCTTTGCCCCAGACATTAGCAGTTGGGTCCCCCTCGACCCAGGTGTTCTCTAGACAAAAGGTAGTCTCAAGTCTCCCTGGTGTCAGAGCTCCCTGCCACCAGCAACAACAGAAAACACCAGGATGTAAGACTGGGACCTATTCCCTGGGCTTTTCCTGGGATCCTCAGGTTTCTGTCCCAAGAGGATGCCAGGGGGAGGGTAAAAAAAAAATAAAGACGCTAAGGTACCGGCCACACTGCCTTTGGCTCCGACTCTGCCCTGAGCGCCCTCCCGGTGCTGGGAGCTAGGGGCACAGTCCTCCTCCCTACCGCTGCCATGCGGTCACCGAGATGAGATGGGCCTGGCGCGGTTCCTCCTGAGATTACCCTGCGGGGTGCCTGCTGGCCCGCCCCTGCCCCCAGCTAAGCCACGCCTGCATCTGTGCTCCGGCCTCGGTCCCGCCCGCGCAGCCACAGCCCGGCTGCGGCCACCCGGCACGGACATTCTTTCTCACAGCTGCCTTCAACCAAGTGGCTGCCACCAAGTTCCTGAGAAATGACTCACGGGAGACTGCTAACCCGGGGAAGTCTGCTGCTTGCTTTGGATGTCGCAAGACCGCTGTGATAAGAGGCCAACAGATGGGTACCTGGACTCGAGAGCTCTCCAAATTGCACATCTCTTGGGCTTGCTGGCCAGCTCCCTCGGTGTGATTGTCAGGGACCGGCTGCCTGCTTGCTCGCTCTGAGGAGAAAGCAGACCAGTGCTGAGCATCCTGGCAGGTTTGCACCTCAGCGGGACTTTTCAGGAGGGCGCTGAGACGCCTCCTGGCCCTCCAGTTGGTCCTGTGCTGTCCCTCTGTCCCCGGAATCCCTCAGCAGAGCAAGCTGGACGGGCGCCAGGCTAGCCCAGAGAACAGTGTCACGCCCCCTGGGATCCCTCAGTACCCATTTGGACTGCCTGAGTCTGAGAGCACGGGATCTCCAAGGTCACAGCCTGGGTCTGCGTCATTCTTGTTTACAAGATAAAAATCATTAGCCTGGAAATGTTCTTTCTTCTCTCTCACCCCACCAGAAACAGCCTTGTATACAGTATTGTAAGTGACAGCCCATCTCCTCCCTCCAGCCGAAGAGGAGGAATTCCTTCAGGCTGGTGGGAAAGTAGCTTGATCTGTATAATAAAGAGATGAGAGGGTGTGTCTGTGAGTCCATAAACTTCAAGAGCCTTAGGACTGCCTGGGAATTCATTGAAATGCAGGTTAGATTTTGGTGCCTGGAATCCTCACACCACCTTTTACACAAGGGTGCCTGGGTGTCAGGGTGGTTTGCACATAGAGATCAATTCTTTGGAGCAGCTTCAGCCTGAGAGAAAAGCGAGTAGAAGAAAAAAGAGATTATTTTGATATGTGTTGTCACAGCCTCGGTGTTTGGCTGTCATTTTTCCAAGAAATGCACGGATCTATCTTCCTTGTTCGTAGTCTACCCAGACTCAAGCCCCTCTTCTGCTAATTGCTCTCCAATACTCTGGTGGAATGCGAGCCAAGCAAGCCAGTCCTTGCTCCCCAGCATGTGACCGCCACAAGGCCAGCAGGAGCTCCCTCCCTGAAATCTGAATCACGAACTCGGGCCCAAAGCCGAGAGCAGTTGGAGTGTTCTCATTCCAGCCACAGCAGCTGAGCATATTCTGCTGCCAGCAACCTTCCGTGGATGCTGGGTGCCCAGCGGCTCCTAGCCTGACTCCAGCCTTCTCTTTGCTCTAGAGAGTTCTGCAACATCCTTCCAAGAATCCCCCTTCTGCCTAAGTCAGCCAGTCAGTTTCTGTATCAAATCCCTCTAACAGTCAATGTAACATTTTGAGTTATTTTGAAATAATGTTTCATTTCCAGATCCTGCCCGTGTGTACGTGTGTTAATTATCACACCACTTCACCACTTTGAAGCTGATCTCCTGAGTGCTGGCCTCATACCATTTGCATTTGGAGTCCTTGCCCAGTACTGTGCCAGAGAGACAGACCTAGGTGCTCAATTAATGGCCATACAAAGAATAAGCAGTCAGCATCTACACTGTCTCCAGGATCTGTCAGCTGCCTCTGCCCATTCAATGGCCTTTAAGTACTAAAATAGCAACAGCTTATAGGAAGTATAGGCAAGCTTATAGGAGCAACTGGCTAATACACTTTTGACCTTGTTCTCTAGTTTCCTTTCTCTTTACACATTTTAAAAGCAAAATGTTGAGGTCAGAATGTAGCACAGTTTGTTTCTCAGATGTGTTCTGGTTTGATTATAATATTTGCACTTGGCTGGGCATAGTGGCATATGCTTATAGTCCCAGGTACTTGGGATGCAGGAAGATTACTTGAAGCCCATAAATAAATAAATAAATAAATACCCACACAAGCATTGTGGCTTTCCCAGATAAAGCACTTCTCCCTAAGGAAAAGCAAAGCAAACTGTCTTCTATAAAGATGAATGCTCCAAAGCATGGCTGGCAAGATTTCAGTTAAATTAACCCCCACTGCTCTATGAACTATCTAGCCTGGACATGTTAACTTCTCAGAGCCTTGATTTCCTCATCTATTAAATGGGCATAATAATAATATCTCCCTCAGAGGACCTTTGTGTGAGTTCAATAAGATAATGCAAATCAAGGGCTAACATTTTACCAATGCACAGTATGAAGTATCTGGAACATTTTCAGCACCTGACAAGTGGACACTATTAAAAGTCATTTTCTAATCAAGCCTCCCACTCTTAACCAGATTTTTAGAAAGCATGTGATCTAATTATGATAAAAATATATACATGGGGAAAGACAAGACAGAAAACATACTACGATATTTAATGTATGTCTGTGGGTGTGATATTATATATAATTTTCATTTTCTTCTCTCAAGTCTCTTTGTTTTCTAGTTTGTTTGACAATAAGATGTATATTGCTTTCATGACTAGAAGATGAGCCCTGACAAGTGCTCTCTTTAATAGAGATAAAAAACTGCAAGTTGATTTTGTGGGAACTGGATGAAAAAGAAAAAAATCCCAGTTAGATGGAGAAATCAATGTTTTCTGGTCAAGAACTAGTCAGGAAGGAAATGACATCAATTTCAGTTTGAATCAGCTCAAGTGACAAACCATAACACAAAATGAAAGCATACTGAGGTTGGGGTGGGGACTGAACCCACTCTGGGTTTGCCTTGTGAATCATCAAGCTAGAAATGACCTCAGAAGGCCACGTGACTCTGCCCCCTCTCCTTACCTCTGGAAGGTTGCCCTGCAACTTTTCAGGACTGATGAGCAATGATCCTATTTTAAGCTATCTAGGAACTAAATCTACATGAATTTCTTTCCTCCTAAGCACCAGGCAGGCTTGACTTGGCGTTTGCAGGTGCTGTCAACTAGGAATCTCCAACCTAGTTTTTCCTTTTGCTTGAAAGAAGCCTGGGAATTGTCCCAGATCTTTCCCACTTTACCTTGAGTCTCTGGCCAAAACTGAATAAACTGAATGCCCCTGGAAGTCAATTTTATCAACTGCAAAACAGAGGAAGAAAAGTTTGAAAGAGATAACGCAGAGCTAGAAGCTAAAAGGGGGTTATTTGGGTGAGAGCTCACACATTTAACCCTGTCCTTACCACTCTAGTGGTAGAGGTGAGACAGACAGAGTTTGTTTGTGTACAAAAAAGCAGCAGGAATTTGGAGTTAGGAGTGGTGAGCCTGTGAAAGGGAAGCAAAGAACGTGGGAATGGGAAGCAGGAAGGACTGAGAGGCGCACATATAGAGAGAAGGGGAGGCAGTTGAAGAGAAGCGGAATCAGAAACCTAGAGAAACACTACTTATAGCCACAGCAAGAAATTGGAGCCAGGATGCTAGATTTTGTTTTAATTTATCTGCTCTGCAGGATTATAATAGCCCTTGCTTCATCTGCGGACTCTTTCAGGAACAAACTTCATGCTCATGATGCTTTGGGACCTGGAGACCATGAGATGGTCCAGGGGTAGCAGGGAAGGTGTGGGGACAGCATCCTCAG